ACAAGCTTTTCTGCCTGAGACTAACCATAGAAGCTTTCCCCCTGTAAAAAAAAGCTTAGCAGACCCGGAAAAATTCAAAGCGATAAGCATATGTGATGCTGCTAAAAACTTTTACCGAGAGAGAAGCAGAATTAAATGTTTCTCACTGCCACTTTTTCAATCTCAGGCTATCTTGAATGTGTAGCGAACGACGAAGAAGCTTTTAGTGGGTAGACCGCTTCTGCAGAATCTCACAATACTGACAAGCTTTTCTGCCTGAGACTGACCATAAAAGCTTTCCCCCTGTTAAAAAAAGCTTAGCAGACCCGGAAAAATTCAAAGCGATAAGCAGATGTGATGCTGCTAAAAACTTTTACCGAGAGAGAAGCAGAATTAAATGTTTCTCACTGCCACTTTTTCAATCTCAGGCTATCTTTTAAATTGGACAAGTATAACTTCTAGTTAACTGTCAGTTATCCGTAATGCAGAATTTTTAATGCGGCAAAGTAGCTTTTACATACAAGTAGGTTAGATATTGTGGTTGAACTACAACTTTCCAGAAAACTCATATATGGCTCTCTGGTTGAAGTCAGCTATCGTTTTAGGACAAACCTAACCGTTAAAAAACGCTACTGGACAATTCATAACCCACAGAGCTTTCTGTTTGTGGTAGCGTTGTGGAAATATTTATCAAATTATGACCAGTACTTTCTTAGTAATAACCTTCTGTGTAGGTGCTGCATATCTAATGCCAGCGTATGGGTTGACCCCCATCCCCGCTTTCTCGATAGAAAATAATACATAGGATTTTGCGCTCGTACTGATCTTTTTTATCATCAAACTTCAAAATCGGAACAGTTCCAATAAACAGCTTGTTGTTTTCACTCTCACAAGGGTGGATTTTGGTAAAAGATGGCACTTTGTGCTTTCTCATTTAAATTATTAAACTATGTTCCACGATACTTTAGCACATTTTCACGTCTATTGAGGTGAAGCTCAGGTACCCTATTCAAAACCATTCACGTGAAACGACAATGAACATTTATCTTCACGCACATACTTTACCTGACTGCGAGTTTTTGTGAAATATACGACGTGCGCAGAGGAATGTGTATTAGGAATGATTAGTAATCTGGATATTTTTATTTTGATATTATGAGTTACGTCAATAGGACGATTGTGTTGTCCCTTCAAGTCGCTTATACTTCTACCTGTTTCCGGTTTATTAACCTTCATTAGTATAACTTGATGCAGGTAAATTATACACAACAGACAGAAAAATAAGACACTCGTCAGCCATATTGCTGTTTCTATTGTGCGTCGGAATTTGTTCCATTACTTTGTTGAATGAATGACATCAGAGGGTTGTTAGAAACTGAAATAGAGCAATAGATAAATGGAGTATTTAAAATGTTACTAGATAAGCCGCTATTGTTTGTTGTCACGTTTTGTCGTGATGAACTGTGGTGATAGATAATGTACTTAATAATAAGAACAACAATTTATGTTGACCAAGAGAGAAGACTAACGCTAAAGACTACAATTAAAAACCATTCATGTTCCTTTATTCATACATTATCGTTATATCCCATAACGTGTAATTTTCCATTTGATAAAATTCAAAAGTACCTTTATGCACGCTTTTCATAATCAGTGATACTTTTAAAATGGTGGAATTTTAATAAAATTTTGACAGGAAACTGAAATGGGACCTTTTACATGAAATAACATTCCGCTTCAAGTATTTGATAAACGCATTCCAATTAACCGTGGAATGAATTACAAACAATTGATGTTGATTCAAATTGGAAGCGCGTCTATACATATACAGACTGCGTAAACATTTTCTGTTTTGTTAATGTGTGATTTCTACCTTTGATGCATGGTAATTGAGATATAAATATACCCAATAATCCACAATTACGTTCAATTACTATAACGGTATAAAGATAAATATTAAACTGATTTGAAGGAAGTATTACCGCGGCTTCAACAATTTTCAAGTTACACAGTTTGTTATTTTCTTTTTCAAAACTTTGATCCCCTCAAAAAATATAATTATTGGGCAAATGACAACGCCGTTGTCTGGATGACTAAAAATATGTATAACGTCGTTTTTCTATAAATATTCCTAAAATGTATCTAAAAAAACATTTTCAGCTGATATACGTTGTTTGTATAGTCGTTATTCAAATGAATTTTTGAATATGATTTAGCAAGGGTTAAACAGCCATATCAGAAAAGTACGCATAACTTCTGATCGATTTTCGTGGCTTTTGTTGCATTTAAATGGTCGTTACCTATATCCGTATACTGTTACAAACGAAATTAGAACTACTCCGAGAATTTCAGGTCCATCTGGACAGAGCGTTGAAAAAATCTACAAACAGTGATAATGTCACGGAGCGCCGCCTAACACATGAAGGAAGAAGACTAAGTTGCCAAAAATCAAACTCATTAAAAGCTTGCATTAAAGCTATTTCAAATAAAACCAATATCATGAAAATCGATAACGCCAGTTAGAAGCTGTATTAGTTTCTAAGGGCCGTATCGTCAGTCATTCCTAAAATTGTAGGACGCCTTTATGGCCTCCTTGATTGTTATAGTTTTCTACTTTTTCGTGTCAGCGGTCTATTTTGAGGTTATGTCACAAATATCTATTTGCATCAAGTTGCTCATGCTTCTGATTTATATCATTTGTTTTATCAGCCTAAAATTTCCTACGATTCAAAAAGAAAACATAACTTCGCAATAAAGAGCGTTGACGCTGACATGGAACAGGTGGAATCTAGAAATTGCTGGAGAGAAAAGACTATGACAATCAAGTAGGCCATAAAGGCGTCCTACAGTTGTAGAAACGTCTGACGATACGGGCCTAAAACGACGAAATGTGAGCTACCGCTACCCAAGCTAAACCAATCAATTAAGATATGCAAAAATGGTATGATAAAAACTTTACAAACGGCGTATACTACTCAGAAAATACTTTTAAGCGTATATTGATTGCGAATGTTTGTAGGAAAGCGTTTTTGTTTTTGATGCTTGACTTTCGACCCCACCGTACACCTGCGTTAAAAAAAATTCCTACCAAATTTTTCGTAGTCGCTTTTGTCATAATTATTCATTCATTAATGGACCACCAAGTTGACAATAAACGATACAAAACCGTTTTTAAGTGTGATTTGGAATTCAAAAACGATAAAAACAGTTTGGGTGTACTTTGGTACTTGTCATTTTTGCTAACCTCATCGCTGAATCGTTTTTCAAAAACACAACCTCATAACCTCTCATATCGCGTTGGTGAGGGAAGCTAAGATCTCTCGGGTATAAGAATTTATGGAAGACATACCAACAGACATTTGTAGCATAGATCATTGACAATTACTTAAAATTTCTATAATATTCTTACTTAACTGGTTAAGCCCATTCACGCAGCATGAAATGTCAAGAAACACACAGCCTGTGCCTATGGAAACAACCTTCCCCAATTTTCCACGATGGTTATGCACGATGTTGAACGGAGGGTAGATGACACCGTAACAAATGATGTCGACAATTCGACCCTCCAAGAATCCTCCACTCCCTCCCAGACGTATTACCTGCGTGTGATGTGCTACTGGGGTTTTCCCTCCAGAAGACAAAGGACTGTGTACATACAGGCGTTTGGAAGCGGGACGGTGCATCTGCGTGCAGTGTGCAGAATGATTCGTGTAGATCTCACTCTTTTTCGAGCATACAGATCAATAAAATGATTGTCAAAACAAATGCCAATAACACATACCTACATGTTGGATTTCTAGTGCGTCATCGATCGGTGACAGAGATAAAAGCGTGACTATCATAGAGAAGATCACAAAAGATACATATATCTTATCAATTGTCTTACTCCCTCCCAAAAATGCATTTTGACCACTCAGGCCATGTGAAATAAGATGTTGCTAAAAGTATTCTAGCTTTTCCAACTGAGGTGATTTGAATGCGATATTAAGTAGCTAAATTGAATAGTGACTGATAAAAATAACAAAGATGAAAACATTAAAAGCCTATCCACAGTCTTTATTTGGCAGTTAGAAGACGCTAAGTATTTTCTAAATCGCCAGTTAGATTGATGTATAAAGTCATACATAAAATCCTCCTTTCCCGTTGCTCTTTCGATTTATTCTTTGTCCGCCATTCATTTGAAGGTTTCTTAAGATTCCTGTTAGTTTTATCCTGTCATTCGGTCACCGTTTTGATGAAAAAATCTAGAAGATTGTCATTTCTTTTTTTTTTTTAGAAAAATAACCGCCTCTCAATATTCAGTTTTGATTTTCCATTACCATTTCAATTTTATTACCATTTGCTCCATCTTTTGCAGAGCTATCTCCACAATAAGTGTTGAACTTCACTAAAGATATCATAACAAATATACGGAAATGATATGCATATGCAGTTGGTTTTTTAACAAAAAGTGATTTTTGGGATAAGGAAGGTCAAAGTTCTAGAATATAGTGTAATTGCAAATGTTATCGTTAAAATATGTTGTGACAAAGGTGGTTTTAGTTCCGACAGATTAACTTTTTTCAACAACTTTGTAACTCTTGATGTGTGTAATGAGATGTTCTAGTCTACGGGTATAAATACATTGCGTATTCATGTTCTTATTTATTGTACGACGTTTCTGTCCCAATGATGTAGAACTGGACAATATGTTTTGTTTATCTCAGATAAACAAAATAGAATGACAAAATCGTCGATTGTAGTCAGATAAACAAAATGTAATGTCAGAAATGTCAATTGTACTCGGAAAAGGTCATTGATGGGACTTGGGACCCCCAATATCTCATAATTTGTCCAATTTGTACCTTTGTGTACATATTCTCCTTTTCGTATGTTTTCCTTGTACAAGCTTGTGAAAATGGAAATTAAGTAACCAAATATCTTTTTTATTTTTAAAACGACTCATCAATTAATTGTGACCAAAGTAAGAAATACACTTGTCTGACAGTAAAATACACTGCCGACACCTGTAATATACGTACGTGATATGGGGGATTCCCCTCCGAAAAACAAACGCCTCCACAGCACGAGCGTCTAGAACGACGTGACTTGCGACAACGGCATCATAAGTGCATTGACACGCGAACGTCGGCCAATCGCGATGCGATGCTTCCCTGATCGACTAGAAGCAGTGAGGTGTGCGCCACGACGCTACGTCAACTGGCATCGCCGCGCGTCGGGACGCCTGCTGTTGTGTTGGTACAGGAGCGTCTTTGCATGCGCCAACGCGCGCACGAGGTCTAGGAAGTTATCCACAGTCGAACTGGCAGAGGTTGTTTAACCCTCTGTTATCAAATATACTAAGTGACATATAAATCCGAACACCCAGTTTAAATGGTTTTATTTTAATAAAAGTTGGTGAATGTATCTATCTTACTGTAAATAACAAGTGAAAAAATTTTCAGCCTTATCAGTTGGACATTCCGGTTTTTATACTGTTTTTTTTTTAATTCACTAACGGTCTAAAAATGAATATTTCAGCCGCAGTAAAGAATCAACGTTGGCGGATTTTGGTTCTTGACATCCTTTACGATCGGTTACGATGCCTAGAGTACGGAGACGTGGGCACTGGACGCCGCCGTAGAACAACAGACCCTGAAGATCGCCGCCTAAGATTATTGGCCTTAAGGGACCTTTTCTCCACTACCAGGTCCATTGCAAATGAATGGTTTGCAGAACACAGAAGACCTATTGGCATGCGAAGTGTTTACCGACGAATGAGAAGTTTTGGCTTGTTTTCATACCGGCCACACTGGGTCCTCCCTTTAACTCGAGAACACCGACGTAATCGCCTTGAGTGGTACAGACAACGGTCACTCTGGGATCAGGAATGGAACAGTATTGTCTTTAGTGACGAGTCTCGATTTTGTTTAGGCATGCACGATGGTGGTGCCAGGGTTAGAAGGCGACGTGGCGAAAGGAGGAATCCAGAGTTTTTTGTTGAAAGACATGTTCATCACACTGTTGGAGTTATGGTTTGGGGTGCTATAGCTTATGGTTCCAGGTCACCTTTAATCTTCATCAGAGGTAACATGAACGCGCAGCGTTATATTCACGAAGTTCTAGAACCCCATATTTTACCCTATCTTGACACCCTGGCAGATCCAACTTTCCAACAAGAGAATCGCAATAAGCATAGTGAGGTCATTCTAATACCAATAGGGCGACCGCATCAAGATGACGTGTATAGGTAGCATAATTACTCCTATTATTTAAGTATCAAATTAAAGGGCTTAATGAGAAAAACATACCAAGTAACGAGACGTCATTCTAAATCCAATATGGCGGTACCGCGAAATGGCGATCTTTTATTTCCATCGCAACCCCTACACTATAGGTAGCTTGATAAGGGAAACAAACAAATAATGTCATTCTAAGTTCTATATGGCAATCGCCACTGAATGTCGATTTATGACTATAGTATGATTTGTATATATCTTTTTTTAAGCAAAAATTGCTGTCCTCTTACTTGAATGTTTGAAGATCATACAAAAATTAATAAAACAAAAACATACTTTTTCAAAAACAATATTTTATGTAGCTGATAATAATATAACGAACTTTAAATTTAAGAATATTTTGCCATTTGGAAATATTTAAACGATAATGGAGCTCCCTCATCCTAAGTTTTCAAATAAAAGCATGCTACGTTTTGACAGCAAGTTGCAACAAGGGCTTTGATTTGGAAATTTGACACTATTGCTTAAATATCACTAATCGTAAAATAATGTTCTTAGTTTTTATTCCGTTTTATTATCAGCTAAATAACAGCTTGTTTTAAACATGTATTTATTCATTTTATTTATTCTTTTATCATTCTCTTTCCTTATCTTTGTCACATAAACCAGGAATTGTGGTCACGAAGATCTCCGACGTCATAGTTACAAAGTCATTTTTATTAATGTGTACTTTGGAAAATGCAGCAATAGTGGCTGAAAGTTAGTAAAGTGTCAGTCTCTTATACGAGGTCTGTAAATGAAGCCATGAGAATGGCAACGTCGCGTTCGATTTGGCAACACTGGATGCGCTGCGACATGTGATCCGTCTTCGGTACAAGTACTACAAGTCTGAACTCACTCGAGTCATTTAATTGTCCGTAGCGTTTTGTTTTTGTGAAACCGTTTTTTTTTTACTATGTTCTAAAATTGAGTGACATCAATTTCGATCAATGGTGTGTTATCAAGTTTTGCTTCAGACCTGGGCAGAGCACAACATAAACTCTTACTAAGCTTCAAGCCTGCCGAGGGAGTGTTTTGTCGTACGTGGCTTAATTTGGCCTGAAAAACATAGAGCTTCGATTGGACGCAGGTGGTATTTCCAAGCTCGAATTCGCAAATAAATTAAGTAAGTTGTGTTTTTTCTATGAACGATATTCATCAATCTTGCGCATTACAAAAATTCAATCAATATAGCAAAACAATTCGGTATGGCACGTGGCGATTTCGCAGCACATGTTCTGTAGTTTCGGATATATCATTTTCTGTGGGGGTCGGGGTATTTTAAGACACTCATCGTCGTTATATTTTATCTTATTACAAACCTACCCATTTGTATCAAATAAATATTATCGATACTGGAGGTCTGACAGGAAGATCTGTACGATCATAGTTTGACCTGCTCGAAATTAGTAATCATTATTGTAATGCAATAAACCATATCATGACAAGCAAAAATTTTGTTTTTCTTATAAAGAGAGGGACACCGTGCTCTACAATTTGTAAATGTACAATACTTTATCAAATTCTCATACCTACTATATAAAACAGACGTGTTATACTACCGTTGTATAAACATAAATCGGAAACTATAAATGTACAGCTAGAAACGACTCCATCTGAAGAATTTAACCCTGTCCTCATTACAGAAAGAGGCCAGAAAGTGCACATTTCGATCCTGCTATAAGCCTCTTCCATCAACGAATCCGTATGGAACACACAAAACAGAAATCTTGAAACCGCATACGTGCACACATCGTGTATGCCTCTACGCCCTACATTTTACCAGTTCTTTATAGTTGAAGAAGTCGTAACTGTTTTCGACAATTCATTATAAGGAAGCTGATTTTCATATAGAGTTTTTGTGTGGAATATTCTTGCTCCTAATAACATGTCCTCAGTCTGTCCTGCAGTTATGGGCCAACAAAATAGTATTTTGTTCGAACGATCATACCCACTCATTTGCTTTTCGATCCTCTGTCTTCAGGACCATTAGACCTATACCACACTTTGAGATGGTAATGAGCACGAAACAGCGCTGTTTGTGGTTGTTCATGCTTATTGATGTCAATTTCACTCAAAGTTCAAATATGCCAATAAGGTCGTTGGAAAACCCATTTTAACTGATGGATTCAAGTCTTCAACGCTATGAAAAGATACACTTTCAGGAAGCTTGGGTCACAATGAATAGAACACTAAATTACAAAATCCGGAAAGATACAGAAATCGAATGCTATAAGACCAATGGTCGTCGACCCGAAAGCACTAAAAAATTCACCATTAAAATACAAAATACAAATAATGAATCAAATGAATACGAAGAAAAGTGGAGGCAACACGTTAATAGAATGACAAGTGAAAGAGTTCCCAAAAAGTACTTCGCAATAATCCAAAAGGAAAAAATGGTTTAGCAAGGCGAAAAGAACTATCTTTCAACTCCTATTCCTGTTGAGAGGAAAGAAGATAGGGGTACAAACCTTAATTTAAATTACCTCCAATTATAATATAAATATGTAATTCAAAAATTTAATATCTAATAAAATTGTATAGCAAAGTACAGCATATAAAAAAATAACTCAAATCCATGAAAATATACAGGATGTTACATTTGTTCATAGTGCATTTTGAATGACGACCATGAGATATAAAGCAAACATTTCGTGGCTTTAGAAGCAGTGATGCTATTGTCCAACTTCTTTCTTTGAAAAGGCCATGCAGAATATACTAAATTGTTTGTTATGAATTGCTATGTATAAAGCGCCATATTTCCCATAAGTAAGGAGCGTATAATTGACTACAGTTTTTGTAAGTAACTTTTTAAAATAACAGGACTATCGACCAATTATGTAGTAAGAACACACCCTAAGGGTTTCAATGCGAGTAAAGCTGACGGGACATAATATTACCACTAACGGTACCATCAGGGGTGTATTCACCGTAGGATCAAAAGGGTCATGGCCCGGGACAGCTCAAGCAAGGTCGGATCCAGGAGGGCTATGACCATTCCTAAAACGGCCGTTTTATCGAAAATTCTACATATTGCTGCCGCATATCTTACTAGATCTAAATTCCAAATTCTGAAACGTGTGCCCCCCTAGACGAACCCCTTCCGCCGCTCTTCAATATTTAATCGCCGCCAAAAATCTTCATTAAAATGAATGCTGGGACCACTGCTGCGCCCCCCTGAATACCTTAAGACACTCCCCTCCTCAGTCAAAGTAAAGATCCGACCTAGGGCTCAAGCCGCCTCAATCGAGAGTTTTTACTTTTTTTCGTTGCTTCATGAGGTGGCAACCTTAAGATGGCGCTACTGGATTCCATACATATCACTAAATGATCTTCTTTGAAATGGCTTGTCGAAAATAGAAATGACCTCTCTAACTATTACGAGAAATAGGTACTCTTTTATGCATTCGAAGGTTCGTGTCGTTTTGTGTATGCCTGTAAAGAGCTGGCAAATGCTTTGTTCCAATAAAATGACATCTGAGTAAACAAAATCTACAGCTTCGTGCCCAGCGTGCATCGTTACTTTTCATTTCTTAGGACTCTTCATATTTACCTAGCTGCCCTTGCAGCTTTTTACTTTCGCTGAAAATAAACATGAGTGCTGTCCCCTGAGATGGGTAAACGAAGAGTTCTTTTGAACTAAGCTTATTTTGTGTTTTGTTGTATTATCGAAAAACGGGCTAAGTTATTCATATTGGGAAGTTAATTGCGGTCTGCTTAGGATCATTATCCTGAAGAAAGATCAACGTTTTCCTGATCCCCATTCTTTCAGCACTGCTTTTCAAGTTGCTGTGCAAAATGTCAACATATTTTCGGCTCTGATGGTCGCAAATATGTATGAAGAATACCTAACACTTAATTTGAAATGAGACATGTCAGACCAACAGCAAAACATAGTATCAGGAGTGTTTTAGTCTGGGGCAGCACATC